CACTACCATTACCACTATCATCACCACCAGCACTACTACTACTACTTTTATACTACTCTACTACTACTACTACTCTACTACTCTACTACTACTACTACTACCACTACTACTACTATCACTACTACTACTACCACTACTACCACCACCACTACCATTACCACTATCACCACCACCACCACCAGCACTACTACTACTACTACTATCATTTACATAGCACTTATATAACATTTTACTTATATTATTTGAGCTTTATAACACCCCTGTGAGATGAATAGTACAATTACATGAAGAGTGTGAGTAATTTTAATAGTTCCCAAATCATTGTATGTGTTTGCATATACAGGTAGGGGATTTGGACTTTAACCAACCTTCCCCCTCTCCTCAGCCCATAAATCTCAGAATGTAATCACAAAGTGTAAACTAATTGAAAAGATGCAGCCTCCTTTGGTGATCCCTTTATGAAGTGTGAACTTCTTTCTCTGATTTAAATTAATAGAATGAAAGGCTGCAGCCACATTAGATGATCCAAAATTTGAGCCCATCTGCTGAGCTTTAAATAACTAAGCCCTAGGGATGGCAGTCTGATTAGAAGGAGTTCAGGTTCCTCCACAAATTGCTTCTGAGCCTGTACAGACAGTTCTCACTTTACCTAAATTCCCATTATACAAATTCAACTTTACTAAAGAATTCTGAAAGAAATCAGCATTCCAAAAAAACAGCTATGTTAAGTTTCCTGTACAGTGTCGTGCTCACTCTCTCCCCTGTCCCTACCTCTCCACTGGGCACTCTGAAGTCTTCTCCCCCTCAAAAAAAGACCCTATAAAACACCCTCCAAGTGAAAGCAGAATGGAAGTAACATGGAGTGACTGCCACTGCCGCCCCAACTAGAGACAGAGAGGAGAAACAGAGATGCAGAAACAGAGATAGAGAAGAGATAGAGAGAGGAGAGACAAAGAGACCGAAAGACAGAGACAGAGAGGAAAGAGACAGAGGCAGAGACAGAGACAGAGAGGGACAAGGAGCCAGAGAGAGAGAAATCTTCAGTTCAGGCTGGTGGTTAAATATAGGGCTATTTGTCCCCTTTTCATAGTGTAGTCCACTTATTTATAGCAAATATTTGCTCAGATTGCAGTAAAAATCAGCTTTCCTTACCTGGAGATAAGACTCCATTAGAAAAGTACGAAAAAACAAACAAAATTTAAGGGTGAATAATGCCAATGCCTCAGGCAGTGATGAGGGGAGGGAGGTGGAAGTGGAGAGGCAGGTAAGTGGTACAGTAGAATGCTAGACCTGGACGCTGGAAGACCTGAATTCAAATCCAGCCTTAGACATTTACTAGCTCTGTGACCCTGGGCAAGTCATTTAATGGCTGTTTGCCTCAGTTTCCTCATCTGCAAAATGGGGATATAATAGCACCTATCTCACAGGGTTGTTGTGAAGTTCAAATGAAATAATTGTAAAGCACTTTACAACTTCAGAGTGCTAGATAAATGATAGCTATTCCCCTCATCCCAATGGGACAGCACATTCTGCCCAGGCAGGTCACTCCTTAGGTGCGGTGGGGGTGAGGAGGGGTGGTTCAGTGAGACAGTCAAGGCTACAACTAATGACATGTTCAGTTTTGGTGTTCTTTCACCTTAGGTGTTAAACTGCGGAAATGCATCTAGGTTATTTTATAATCCTGAATTCTAATTTGAGTTTTGTGAAGTTTTTGTTATAAATTTGCTTGCACTGGCATATGATCCCAACAATTTTAGTTAACTCATAAGAAGTTCACAGATTTGGAGTTAAAAGGGACCTTAAAGGTCCTCTAATCCAACCCTCTCATTTTACAGATGAGGAAACTGAGGTCAGAGAGGTCAAGTGCCTTGAGGTTAAGCTCAAGACCACACAGTTCATAAATGGAAGAGTAAGGATTTAAACTATGGTTTTATGACTCCAATTTCGGTGCTCTTTTCATTGCATTAAGCTACCTGACCTTCTAAGATCCTTTTCCAGTACAACAAATATCTTTCAGAACAGCAATCAGCAGTTTGCATTCCAATTAGTGACCCTTTAAAAAAATATAGGGGGCAGCTAGGTGGCGCAGTGGACTTGCCTAGGGTCACATGGCTTGTATATGAGGCTGGATTTGAACTCAGACCTTCCTGACTCCAGGCCTGGCCCTTGATCCACTGAGCCACCTAGCTGCCTCCTCTCGTTAGTTTAGGGGGAAATAATTTTTTAGGTTCAAGATGCACTCTTGATCTGTGTTCCTTAATGGGGAAAGAATGCTGTGAGTTATATATCCAAGGCTTGACTCCTTTCCTACAAGATACCAGTCCCACAATGAACGCATGTAGTGAATCGCAAGTGAACCCATTTACCCAAATCAGTAGCAAAAGAGAAATCAGAAAAAGTATGCAGAGGAGAACATTTAGCAGACAATACACAGAGTAAATGAGCTCTCTCATTGGGAGTGAGATAGTTCAACTCAACTCAACCAAGAGAGAAAGTCTCAAATCTAACCCAAGGGGAAGTCTCCAGTGTAGTAATCTGGGGATAGGGACATGATGGAGGCTCCCAGCTTCTCTACATCAGCTTCTTTCCAGTGTCTTTCTCTCCCTCCTACAGGGATGTCACTACTCTGGTTCAGACCCCCATTTCCCTCCATCTCTACTATTGCAACAGCCTCTGGGCCCTACTACTTTGAATCTATTTTACATACCACCACCACATGACATACCTTCCCTCACAGTCAGCCTGAGAGGGGAGGATGACAGGTATTGTTATTATTATTATTATTCCCACTTTGGCTTAGGAAAGTTCCATGGTCACACAGCTAGGAAATGTTGGAAATAGGATTTGAACACAGGTCTTTCTGGTTTCGTGTCCAGCACCCTTATCATCATGCACCATGCCATGATGCCTCTTGATTTCATTATTATTACCATGTTTAAAAAACAGCAACAACAACAACAACAACAACAACAAAAAACCCCAAAAACCCAACCACCTCACCATGGTTCTTTATTGCCTACTTCGGACTCTGGCCTGGGATTCAAGGCTTTTCACAGACTTATCTCAGTTTCCTTCCTCTGTCTCACACTCCTCTCCTTCACATTGCTATCCTGCAGCGGACCCTTCTGATTATGCCAGTCTACATATCTAGAACACCTTTGCTCCCATTTTTACTTGTAGAAATCCTACATGTCTTTGAATACCCATCTGCTTCTCCTTCCTCCACAAATTTCCTCTAGTTTTCCTAGTGAGAAATGATCTTTCTGCCCTTGGAATTCTTTTAAAAATTGTCATCATATGCACTTACCACATTCTATTTTGTATTAGGCTTATTTATGTATATGTCTCGATAGGGGTGTGCTAGTGTTTAACAACCCGCTCCTCAAGGGGGAAAAAAAAAGGAGGTGCATGAAACATTTTAAGCTTAATCTGCTTTATTTACATTTTCTCTATCACTTTCTCAAATTTAGACAATCAATAAAACAATAAATCGATCCCTGATTTGTAAGGTTTGCCAATTTCTGAGGGGCAGCTAAGAGGCACAATGGATAGAACACCACCTCTGGAGTCAGGAGAGCCTGAGTTCAAATTTGACCTCAGACACTTGACACTTATTAGCTGTGTAACCCCTGGGCAGGTCACTTAACCCCGATTACCTTGCAAAAAAAAAAATACTTCCCCTGAAGATTTAATAATAGGCTTTAGAGAGCCAGTTGAGCTGACTCCAGCACATTCCTGCTCCCCTAGAAGAGTGTAAACTTTTTGAGGGCAGGGACTATATCTTACCTATCTTCCTATCTCCCTCAGTGACTGGGGATAGTATTCTGGATTTAGGTCTTCTTCAATAAATGTTTGTTACGGGGCAGCTAGGCAGTGTAGCACCGGCCCTGGAGTCAGGAGGACCTGAATTCAAATGTGGCCTCAGACACGTAACACTCACTAGCTGTGTGACTCTGGGCAAGTCACTTAACCCCAATTGCCTTAGCAAAAAAATAAATAAATAAATGTTTGTCATATTTAAGTTGTCCCTTTAGAGGGAGGGACCATCTGTTGTATTTTTATATGCTATAGGACCTAGCATAGTGTTGAATAGAAGTTCAAGAAACACTTATTGCCTAAAAATATCTTAAAAACAAAGTTTTTGATCATATCACTAACCCAGTCAGAAATCATCATTGGTCTTTTGTTGCCTATACAATAAACTTCTAACCCTTTAGCCCATTCAAGGTTCTCCCTAGGATGATTTTAACCTACCTTTTTTTTTTCCAGTCTCTCTCCTGTATTATTATTTATTCTACCCCAGACATATCCCAAGCAATTCCACATCCATGTCTCGGTTCATGCCTTTTTCTCTGCCCAGAGTCCCTCTTCTCCCCCACCCCATTAACCATCCATCAAGGCCCAGTTCAAATGGTACCTCTTCCATGAAGCCTTCCCTGATCTTTCTCTTCATCTGAATTCCCATAAGGCTTTGCTTAAACCTATCTTGTGTCACTTTTCTGAATTCTACCTTTTATTACACTTCTTCAAATTCATGTCTTCTTTCTCCTAATGGATCATAAGCTCTTTGAGGACAGGCATTATTATTCATTTTTGGACTTTTCATAGGTGCTTTACACATTATAGCTGCAATAGACATTTAATGAAATATCGAAATATTTAAGGAAATAATGAAATATATTCCAAGGCTTTAAATTGAATAGCATTTATTTCATTCACAAAACAACGACTTCAACCAAAGGTATAAACTTAGACAAATAATTTTAATATTAAAAATTGGTCTATTTTAGCTTATCTAATAATATAATTATTTTGTTCAAAAGAAAAATATAAAATATATCATTCAAAAGAAATTACTATGAAACAATAACAAAATTGCCCTTATCATTACCTTTATTAAACTTCCAAATGTGTTACTCTACATCAGGGATGAGGAACCTGTAGCCTCCAGGCCACATGTGGCCTTCTAGGTCCTTGGATGCAGTCTTTTGACTGAGTCTAAGTTTTACAGAAAAAGTTCTTTTATTAAGGGGATTTGTTCTGTGAAGTTTGGATTCAGTCAACGGGCCGCACTTGAGGAGCTAGAGGGTCACCAGTGGCCTGGAGGTCACAGGTTCCCCGCTTCTGCTCTACACAATCACAAAATAATTATGAAAGTCAATAAATAGCTAATGAAATTTTTGAAAGATAGGATTAAATAAGCCCATCTCAATTGCCCTCTGAAATTTTCCCCTAGTTCCTCCAGTCAAAAATTTGCTTTCTTTCTCTGGCGCTTCTCTGGCGTGCTCTTATAAGCACCATGGTAGTTCCTGGGACATCTAGTGAGGTTTGAAAAAAATTTTTTTTAATCTGATTACAAAAATAAGGAGACAACATCAGAATCACATGCTTGAAGTTATCAAAATAGTTTACTTCTATTGGAACTGAATTATAGAAAGGAACAGTAGTTATTTAATCAGTACTCCTAGAGGACCTAGCGCTTTCATAGCTAACTCTAACGTCTCTTGAACCTTGGCATTATTTTCAATTATCAGGGAAGCATTTCTCTTCGTGGGCTCTGGCTTCTGTTCTTGTTCACTGGGGAGGAGGGTAGAGGTGTTGAACAGGATTCGAGGCTCCCCTAAGATGCCAACTCTGTGTGGAAAGAACGATTGTTATAAGTAGGCTGAAACTGCATAGCAGAGGACTGAGGTTTCAACACCAAAAATAATCCCCATTTCAGTAAACCACTGCAATTCACTTGCAGAGAGGCTCAAAACAAGATCAAGCCACAAGAATTTTTACTAGAATTTCCCACATTTCCTAGTATTATCGTAAGGATACATATAACATCATTTTAAATAGTTTGGAATCTGAGGAAGCACCATGTATATTGGGAGCAGTATTACGGGGATACAGTGGAGTAGTGATCATATCCGTTCAGTCACTCCTCACCTTACTACTGACCCACTCATCTGACTTCTCCAGAATAGATATTCCTTCTCCTTGCTTGGATTGTAATATTAAAGTGGATGGAAGGGAAGCAGCTAGGTGGCACAGCGGATAGAGCATTGGGTCCGGAGTCAGGAAGATCCATCTTCCTGAGTTCAAATCTGGCCTCAGACACTTAGTAGCTGTGTGACCCTGGGCAAGTCACTTAACTGTGTTTGCCTCAGTTTCCTTATGTGTAAAATGAGTTGAAGAAGGAAATGGCAAACTACTCCAGTATCTTTGCCAAGAAAACCCCGAGAGGGTCATGAAGAATTGGAAATGACTCAACAACAACAACAACAGTCTTCTGTCTTTTTGCTAGCTCAAGCTTTCCCCTCTCCAGTTCCATGGGTCTTCTTCACAGCTCATCAGAAGCTGGGCTCTTCTTCTGGTCAGTGAACTGATTTTTAGCATGGTCTGTCATCATTCTTCATCCTATTTTGTTGCTTCCTCGCTGATTTACTCAAGGGACTAATGTGTACCCCATAAAGGGACCACCTGGCATGGCTAAATTTTTACAGTTAGTTTAAAATCCAGTTATTCTGCCCTTTTTCTAGGATCCCCTCTGTGAAAGGTCAACTGCTTTACATGTGCACTAGGAGATGAATTCCAACTTTTCATCAAAACTTTTTGTCTTCACCCTGATGTCTTTGTTGTTGTTCAGTTGTTTTCAGTCATGTCTGACTCTTCATGACCCCATTTGGGATTTTCTTGGCAAAGATACTAGAGTGGTTTTGCCATTTCCTTCTCCAGCTCATTTTACAGATGAGGAAATGGAGGCAAACAAAGTTAAGTGACTTGCCCAGGATCACAGAGCTAGTTAAGTGTCTAAGGCCGGATTTGAACTCAGGGAGATGAGTCTTCCTGACTCCAAGCCTGGCACTCTATCCACCGCACCACCTAGGTGCTCTGCAAATTTCCTTCAGGCTAATGAATTCAGGGTGACAAGTATGACTATGTGTACTATAAAGTTCTTGCCTGATCTTCTTGGTTGGCAAATTTTCTGCTCCTCAGTCCTCAAACAACATTGTTTTGCAGCTCTCTGGTGCACTTATCACATAATGATTTTGTTTTCTAGTTAACTGCACTGATGTCTTAACCTCTTACTAAACAGGAAGTTCCATAAAGCTGGGGGCTATGTCTTATTTAAACTCCATAGCAACCCCAGCCCAGAACTCTGCAAATCAGTAGGTAATTTCTAAATGTTTCTGGAATTGGAGTTAAATGGATTGGAACAGGTGGGTATAAAGGTATAAAGGATCTAGCCACAACCACCCTGTTACTGCCTCTTTTCTTTGGTTCATTCCACATCTACCATGATTGTCACTTACACTGGCATGGCAACTGAGGCACTGCTGATCAATTCTCTTTTGTTGGATGGTTTAAATGGGACACCTGTACGGCTACTACGGGTCTTCTCAAAGAGATGCTGAGCATGCTCTTTAGGGGAAGGCAAAAGAGTAGATAAGGCTGGAGAGCGCATATGAATAGTTGTTTTTATTGCTGGACGTTTGGCCATCATCCTCCTTCAGGAAAAAAAAAATGAAGCTTCACTTTGGCTGTCCTGTTTTGTGATTTCCTTGTAAGTAGGGAAAAACTAAAAAGGCCATACCTGAACTGCACAAAAGTCATTCTTCTCTTTCCCTCACCAACTTCTTCTTCCTCCCTCCTCCTTCTTGCACTATTGAACATATTAGTACGAAACAGCCTACCTATTTCTTCATCAATCTCTCTTAGGTACTCACGTCGGAATACTACCCAAGCTACATACGTACAGAAGGTGAAGAAGGCCTATGATGAAAAAAGGACAGTCTCAACTCAAAACTGTGATAAATAAGGCCAATTATTGTACCCAGATATACCCAGAAAAAAAGTTGTGTGTGATAGAATATTCAATCATCAGCTTTCCCAATAATCTCAATGAAGTCGTGTGCAGGTAACAAGTAACACTTATTTTTGAAGTGATGTTTGCATGCATGCAGTTCGCTTGAGTGGTTGCAAAAAATAAAGTACTGAAGAAATATTTAAAATATGACTTTATGTGTCATGTCTTTCATGTTCCCCTATTACAGTTTTCCTCATATAGCAAGGGGCAGAGAGACCTGGCTCTGCATTGGTGAAGCAAGTACCCACCTTAATGAACTCACGGATCCTTAAAGTACTGAGATAAATCTGGTCAGAGGAAAAGTCCCATCAATGTGCCTTTCTTACCTCAAAGAACTTCCAGTCTTTTTGTGTATCTGAAACCTTTTCCCTGAAACACAAAGAAAAATCAATGGTTAATACCAAATGTTGTATTTTTGATACCCTGAACAAAAAAAAAAAAAAAAGATGAAGCTGGCAAATAATATCAGAAAATAATCTGAAAAATCATCATCTAAAGGACTCTTTCTTTATGAATCTTGGCCTTTTCTCTATACACTTGCATGGCCAATAAAATTGAGCTCAGAGCTTTAACTAAGATGAGGTGACCAGGGCTTTGATCCTAGGGGAATTTAGAGGGTACTGACAACACTTTCACTCCATCAGGCATAAACAACAAAGCTTAGCACCTAGTTATCAGGAATTCTTAAACAGGAAGCTACCAGATGGCAAGATGAGGCAGGTTCTCTCCTCATCTTACCCACACATTTGGAACTCACCTAGCCAGATTGAGAGAGGTCTGTCACCAGGTTGGCAGCAGGATTATGCATTTTTTTTGGTCCACAGCAGTTTTCTCCCTTTATACCCTACCTCCAGAGCAGATGGTGTCTCAGGCTCTCTACCTACCTTACCTAAACCCAAGTCATGCTTCATTTCATTCATACTGCTTGCCCCAGAGCACAGTTCCTGTTATATCTGGTCTACATTACAACCTTTAATATGTTGTCAAAAAAAGAGCATTAATATCTTCAGCGGATCTTCATTAGCTCAGACTCCCTAGCTTATTCAGATTCTGCCACCTCTTAGAGGGTTCTGATCAAAAATCAAGGGATAAACGTTACACTTAGACAAGTCTGGGTGTGGAGACGTCTCTATGCTTTGGGCACAGTAGCACAGGGTACATTTTATGAAGGAGTCAGCAGAATTGGATGATGTTGTTGGGAGGAATCAGAGATGGAGAGTTGGGGGTTAAGAGGGACAAAGAATGAGAGGTGAGGCACAGGATGTGACAGTGGTTGTGGGCCATGAAAAGAAGCAAAACTGAAAAGGGAACGTAATATTCACTTTCAGTGAAAGAAAGTGAGGCTTGAGAGAACCTTCTGTCACCTGCATTAGTCAGGAAAACTTACATTCTGTCTCTCTTAGACAGGCTTTACCCAGGAATCATTGCAAAGTCACTGTTAAAGAAAATGAAGCTATGCCTTTGTTGAATTTCACCCTGCTATCCTGCTTCCTGAAGGTCCACTGGATTCTGGCCTGGTCTCAAGGAAGCAGGTTCAGGCTACAGGCATCTGCTTGCCCTACTATAGTCCAAGGAGGCAGAGACCAGACCCAGGTCATTTAGAGACTGATCTGGGGTTGCAATCTACTCTATGTCAGGTCTGAATATCTTGTTAGGTCCAGTATCCCTGAGATAACCTTGGAGTTGCTTTGTTGGGACAATCCCTGGGTTGGCCCTGGAATTGAACCAGCATCCCCAGGAATTTCCCTGAATCCCTTGGAACCCCTTTAACCAGAAATAGTCTACTTCCTGCATTGACTTTTAAGGGTCTGAACTCATTTCCTGCCAGCCCCAAGATATAAGGCTCACCAAGGATTAAGAATGCCAAGAGAGAGCCATAATTTATAGGGCACTCTCTTCCTTATGATCTTTATTGGACCAACTTACATGGATCAAATCCCAGTCCTAAATCAAGTTTCAAGTCCTTCAGGAGAAAAAAAATTACTCTTTTTCTGGAATACACACACACACACACACACACACACACACACACACACACACGCACACACGTGTGTGTGTATATATGTATAGATGTTTATATATACACACACACATAAACACATATATACATACATATATATGGACAGAGAGAGAGCAAGCGAGAACACATAAGAATTCTCTGGAGTAGCCGATAATCAGAATTTCTTCAGTGCAGCCAAAAACTACTCCCCGACCAGGGCTCTTGTGTGGCATTTCAGCACTTCCACTTCCTCTGCCAGCTGAAACCAGAGCCCACAGGGACAAGCACGTAAAATGTAGGGGGTGGGGTGGGGTGGAGAGGACTTGAAGAGGAAAGGGGGAGGGAGGAAGGGCAAGGGTGGAGGGGTGGGTGGCACAGGAGAAACAAATCAAACCATGTTTTAGGAAAGCAATGTCCACTTGTATTCTGGGAACCAGTTTAGAGCAGCCCTTATTTTAGATGACCTAGTTTTGCCCATTCCCAAAGCATGTGGAGCAGCATAGGCATCTGTTTAAGGCCTGGAAACAATGACAGTAACAGCAGAGAAGAAAACAACTTCCTTTAAAAAAAAAAAAAACAAAAACAAAAACAAAAAAAGCCTGGGGACACACAAACCTCTCATTCTTATCTCTCTGTCTCTCTTTCCCCCTTACCCATCTCTCTTTTCTCTCACACATTCTTCTTCCCTTCCTCCTTTTCTCTCTCCTCTCCTCCCTCCATCTCTCCATAAAGTTACACACTTCTTTTTATCTAGTGCTTAGATAAATAAGTAATCTCTTTCCTCTTAAGGCTCTTAAACTTTGCACTGTCCTTCACACAGACCCAGGATAAGGAGAGTACCCAGGAAGTACTATGGTTTCAACCTCATCAATTTCAAACAAGGTTCATAAAAAACTACATTTCCTACTTGAGATCAGAACCTAAAAGCAGCTGAACACAGAAAGTCTGGCTGGTAGCAAAATTGTAAATAGGAATTAAGTTCCTTAGGTTTCAGTGCTATTTGTTATTGAAAATTCTGTTTAATGAGTCCTTTGTCCTTTATCAGACCCTTATCCACAAACATCTTTATTTATTTAGGACCATTCTGAGGACAGTGTAGGGTCAGGACACCCATCTGTAAGAAATTCAGGGCCTAGCCCAGTCTCCCTATTTCCCAATCTCTCTTTCCAGCCTTCTGTCCCAGAACAACAATTCTATTCAGATGAAATCAGCTTAAATTGAACATCACAGACAATAAGGGGTAATTTGATGTTTGTTTTTTTTGTTTTTTAAAGCACCAGTCATCCATGTTCCTCCTAACCTGATGCCACAGCATCATGAAGGGGTGGTACACAGGGTATGGTCCATACAGATTTGGGTCATTTGTTCTTTAGGGCTGACCTGACAAGGCTACACATATTATGGAGTAATTTTCTAATTCTGCTAGGAAAACACAAATACATATTTCTTTAAAAACAACACATAAAGAAATCATAAAAACCTCTGTGAAACCAAGAATTCAAAGCTTTGCAACTAGAAAAGTCAGACCCTCCTAGTTCTAGAAAGAGATGAAAGCACAAAATTAACACCCCCAAAATTGCTAGTTTCAACTGAAATTTCTGTGAAATCTCGAATTCAGCCTCAAGAAAAGATGAATAATAGCAAAAGTAGGTCCAGCCCAACATTAAAATTATGTCTATTAGAAAGGGAGAAAAGTCAGAAGATACGATTGAAAAAGCACTGCTAAGGATGTTAGCTTATTCACTTCATGTGAAAGTTGAATTAATAATAATATACTGACATCAGCTAATTACATGGAGGGAGACACCATTGTATGGCTGCTACTCTTTCTAAGAAGTGAGCTGGTCTCTAGGAAGTAGGAACATCAAGTACTATGGGAAGTGGTGTCCTCTAAATAACGGGACTCCCCAGGCTGGTAATTCTATCAACAATGAGCTACCTCTAACAATCTGGGCCAACATATGAGAGGAAAAGTGAATAAGAATGAATGAGCAAAGCCCAAAGAGAATTTAGGGGAATGACTAAAAAAGTCATTAAACTTTAAGTTATGAATTGATTTAAGTGAATAAATATTTACTAAACAAGTTTATTTGGCTGTGTTGAAATGTTAAAATTTCAATAAAACATTTTGGTTAAGGAAAAAAAAAAAACACAGTATGAGTACATGGAATTAACTACATATAGCCTTAGATTCTACAATGTGGAGGTTACTGAGAGGAATGGAGGCCTAAAAATAGCTCTGGAACTGGAGTCAGAAGAAGACCTGAGTTTGAATTCTGCTGACACTATTTACTACTTGTATGATGTGGCGCAACTCAGTTATCCTCTGGACCTCAGTTTATCTGTAAAATGAAAACAGTTTATCTGCTGGACTAGAATGATGTCTAAGGACTCCTAGGACACTAAAATTCCATAACTACTTAATTTTTTAAAATGTATTTACTTACTTTCCACAGGCCATGTGATGCTTGTCAGGCATACCCAAACCTAAAACAAGGGTACAATATTTCTGGGCAAGGTATTTCTGTGACTCTTGTAACCTCTCAATAACTAACTTCATCTCTTTTTTCTCTATATGGCTCCTGAAAAAAACAAACAAACAAGTTATAGTTAAAACTCGCTAATTGATAAGAATTGCAGCAAGTCTGAAAGATCAATCTGAATTAGAGTAAAGCCCAAGTTGTAGGCTTTTTTGAAAGAAATACAGTTTTCCAGTGTTTAAATAACTCCATATAATAATAATTGTAATGATATAACACTTTAGGGATTGCAAGGCACTTTCATCACAATAACCTTGCATGGCAGGTGTTACAAATATTATCATAGATTCTTACCGAGGAAAGTCTGTCAATAAACATTTATTAAATGTTACTGGTTCTGTGCTGAGAGCTAGGATACAGAAAGAGGCAAAAGATAGCCCCCGATCTTAAAGAGCTCACAATCTAATGGGGGAGACAAGGAAACAAAAATATACAAAGCCAGCTATACAAAGGATAAACAGGAAATGATTCAAAGAGGAAAGGTACTAGAATTAAAAGGAGTTGGGAAAAGTTTCCTGTAAAAGATGAGATTTTGTTGTTGTTTTTCCTTCATTCTCCAAGAGGACCAATGACATCTGGAGGGTGATGTCTTGACTTGAAAGTGAATTGGATTTAAGTGAGTCATTAGCCTCACTCTCTCCTCCAGAGTCATTGGGGTCCAGTGGCAAGACATAGTGAAGACAACTGGTGATGGCCCATGATGCAGTGGGAGACCTTGGCCTTTTTAAGGTAAGGTCTTTCCAGGGTCACAGTTTGAATGAGGGAATACCCATTCAGTGACTAAAGGCTAGGTGAAAAATGAGACAAAAGATGGCCTAGTTTGCCTTCAATAAATATGGGAGGGAAAGGTCCTCGGAGTTTCTGGCCAGAACAGAAAATTGCTATTTGCACTCATTCTGAGTCATCAAAACCCAATGAGCAAGTGAGGTTTAGGCTGGGACCTAATTGGTCAATTAGTGAAAGCCAGAGTGATTTGGGTTTAAAGGCATAGTTTTAGTTGGGGCTTTAGTTGGCAATCTATGGAAGGAGACAAGGTGGAATGGAATGACTCATGCATGTAGGATTAGGTTGGATAAGGAGTAAAGCCACCTCTTCATGTGAGAAAGGGGTAAAGGTGGAGATAGCGACAGAAGACATATGAGTGATATGAGATGAGGAAGAGGGGAGAAGAGGCAGCTCATGAAAAAGGGTCTCAATTTTTTTTTCTGAAAAATGTGAAGCCACGGGAGGCTTGAGGAGGAATGAGAAGTTTTCAAAGAGCTGCTGTGAAAAGCAGGCTAGTGAGTTGATGAGGAAGGCGTACAGCAGGATTGTCTTGTAGCTGTGAGGCCCAGCTGAGGTGGTGTCACATAATCAGAACAGTTGAGTAATGTTCTCTGCCTTCATTCAGCAGCACGTGTAGGACGTGCGCAGTGGGAGTCATCCAAAACTGAGGCTTAGCAGGACACAATTATCTAAATGATAAGGCGGCTAGAGGCTCAGGGAAAGAGGATAACACAGAATCGAACTGGTTCACCAAGGGATCAGGATGTGGAAGAGAGGAGAGGATGGCTAGTTCCAGGGAGATGGACCGGGAGAGAACTGAGAGGTCACAGTGTGGACAAAGAGTAGGGCTTGGTAACGGAAGCCAGAGGGAGAGTGGAAAACCACAGATTATGGTTCAATAAGGGGATTTCATAATTCTTGAATATAAAGGTTGTACATTTGTGGGAGATAGTAAGATCAAAAGTGTGATTGTGGAAGTGAGTAGGCTGAGGAAGTCAGTGGTTACAATGCTGTAGAGTCAGTATGTACGTAGAAGCCCCCTATTATGAGGGCAGGAGTTGGGGAGGAGAGAAAAACAGAGGGGAGGGACCCGGAGGTCTGCAGACAAAAGTTTTTATGCTCTATGTGAACTCATTGTTATGTAAGGGCAGCTCTCACATTATCTTACATCACTTACAGTAATTTATTTAACCAGTACCATTCTATCTGCATGAAGAGCCTCTGCTGCTGAAACCCTTCCAGCCCCTTCATAACCCCATCCTCTTCTATCCCTATGGCTCTCAAGGTCAGGGAGCTCAGGAGTTAGGGCTCTGAAAGAGGTGGGCCTCTTTGGGTCACTTTGAAGGCTCAGCTATATTATAGGTTAAACAAGACTCTAATGGGTTAGTCAGAAAACTGAAATGTGATTTATACTGTTGTTTCTAAGGGAAAACAAGCTCCAAATAACTACTTCAAAAATGAATTTTTGGAACACCATCCATTTGCAAGGTGGGGGTTGTCTATACTATTATCGCCTAAAGAGCAGCAGTATTTAAAATTTTCATAATATTGGAAGCCTTGCAGACATTTTACAAATGTCCACTCTTACTTCTAACTGTACCACTGTTGAATGCTGAAAGTGTTGCCTCATTTTTGACAGTTAGAAAATTTTAAGCCAGTGCAGGGTGGAGAGGAGAGGAAACTGTAGATACAACCTGGGGTCAGCCATTTACCATAATTACACTTTTTGATTTGCACATATCTTGGACCACACTTAGATGGTGATATAGTGAGATACATTTACTACAAGTGCAGTAGTTTAATATTATCAAAATTTAATGCAAAACATAATTAGTTATACTGTACATCAGGGATTTTTAACCTCTTCTGAGCAGTGGGCCCCAGTGGCAATCTGGTAAAGCCCATAGATCCTTCTCAGAATAATATTTTTTAATGAATAAAATACAGAAGGATCACAAAAGAAACCAATTTTGCTGAAATGGTTATCAAAATTTTTTTAAATGTTCATGGACCCCAGGTTGAGAACAATAGATCCCAGGTTAAGAACCATTGCTTACATCAAAGGCAAAAGGTTTTAATAAAAATCAGAAAATTTGTTAGTTGCTGAAATAAATGTATTAATTTAAGAAGTGCAACTAATATGGGGCAGCTAGGTGGCACAGTGGATAGAGCACTGGCCCTGGATTCAGGAGGACCTGAGTTCAAATCCGGCCTCAGACACATAACACTTACTAACTGTGTGACCCTGGGCAAGTCACTTAACCCCATTGCCTACCCAAAAACAAAACAAACAAACAAACAAACAAAAAGAAGTGCAACAAATAAATGATCACTGATGCTATCCATAATCTTTAAGCAATCATGGGGAAAGGAAGAGGTCTCAGAGGAGGGGAGATGAACAAATGTTATCATTTTTAAAAGAGTGAGAGGCAATGTAGATTCATGAAACTACGGGGCACTGAGTTTGTGGTTGATTCTTGATAAAACTAGAATTGGTGATTTGTGAAGAAGTGGTGATCATTAAGAGTCAAAATGGGTTCATTAAGAGCAAATCATGTGAGACTCAGCTAATTCATCTTTATGAGGTCACTAAGTTGGACAGATCAGAAAATGCTATGGAGATTTTATTTTATTACATTATTATACCATACATACATAATATTTTGTATTACATTGAGATTTCAGTAAGGCATGTGACAAAGACATCTCTCATGATATCCTTGTGAATAGGATGAAGAACTATGGGCTGGATCAAAGTATGGTCAGGTGAATTCATAGCTGGTCCAGCAATCTGAATGTCAACCAATGATGATCTCTAGGCAAGGCTCCTGGGGCATGCTAGTTTTTTGGTGTGGTTTTGCTCAACATTTTTATCAATTACTTGTATGCAAATCATATTCAGTGTAGGAAGGTACCCCAGAAGCCCTCAGTTTACAGATGAGGAAATCAAGGGCCAGAGTGCAAAGGACTTGTCCAGCATCAGGTAAGATATTAAGTACAAGATTTGAACTAGGTCCTCTGCACCCAAATATAGTACTCTTTCTACTATATCACGATACTTCTAATCCAATCCTTTCATTTTATAGGTAAGGAAACTGAGGCCTGAGACATTAAATGATTTGCCCAAGGTCACTTAGGTAGTGATTAAGCCAATAATTCAAACCCAGGGTCCTCTGACTCCTAAACCCAGTATATACATTAAGTCATACTGCCAGCATTATTAAATCTTGGGATGACACAAAACAGGTAGGGACAACTAATGAGAGATACCAAAGCCAACACCCACCAAACATTTCAGCAGCATGGACATATGGAACAAATCTAACAAGATGAAATTCAATAGGGATAAGTGCAATCTGGGCACTTTTGCTAAAAAATTAGTTGATAAGTATTAGACAAGTGAAATGTGGCTCAATAGTAGCTCGTGTGAAAAAGAAGCCACTTTAGTTGATTATTAGTCCAATACAATCAGTGTGATGTGAGTATCAAAAAAACTAATTTGAGCTTTGACTTCATGAATAAAACCAGAGTATAAATCAGGCCTGCATAACCAGGCTGCTTATGGCCCTCGGGCCACTTGCATCAAGCCAAACGACTTCAGGAGGCACTCGAAAAATATAGAGGAAAACACCCTTTGTATGTAGAGGAAATCCTTTGGCATGTTGCACATTGCCAGCAGGCTGCAGGTTGTGCAGGCCTGGTATAGCTCAAGGGCGATAATACTGTCCAACTCTTCTCTTTGCTGGTCAAAGAGACCAACATTGGTTGGTCACAGAATTGTGTTTAGTTCTAGGTGTCACATTTCAAGAGAGGCATCGACAAACTCAAGCATATCAAGAGGAGGGGTTCTAGGGTGATAAAGGGACTCATAACCATCCCATGTGAAGCATGACTACAAGACTCGGAAATATGTAGCTTAGAGGAGAGATGTCATTAGGGATATGATGGGACATAATAACCATATGCAAACATTGGCAAAGTTGATAAAGAAGAGGGATTAAACTTGTTTTGTGACATTCAGAAACCAGAGTTAGGATCAATGAGTAGACATGAGGATATGATGTTCTTAGTTCTCAGCATTGAGGAAAGTCTAAAAACATTCCTCATTGTCACTTAATAAGATACTTGAGTCCCTTATCACTCAAAAGGGTAAACACAGTCTATTTGTCTGCTTGTCAAGAGTGGTGTAGAGGGAATTTTTGCATCAAGGAGGGGGATGGACTAGATCAGAGGTTCTTAAGCTTTTTTTTGTCATGGACCTCTCTGGCAGTCTGGGGAAGCCTATGAACCCCTATGTTTTTTTTTCAGGCAGTTGGGGTTAAGTGACTTGCTTAGGGTCACACAGCTAGTAAGTGTCAAGTATTTGGTCTGAGGCCAGATTTGAACTCAGGCCCTCCTGATTCCAGGGCCAGTGTTCTCTCCACTGCGCCACCTAGCTGCCCCCTGAACCCCTACATTTTGAAAAGCATAAAATAAAATACATAGGATTATAAAGGAAACCAATTACAGTGAAATGCAGTTATCAAAATATTTTTTTAGAAAACCAAGTTCCCAGACCAACCCCTGGTTAAGAATCTCTGAAAAGACTAAGTTCTCAAACCTGTGATCAAAGTCTACTTATCAATATCTATTTCAAAATGAGCCTTATAAAGAATTTTTACAACCAGTCTCTCTGATAAGGGCCTCATTTCTAAAATATATAGAGAATTAAGTCAAATTTATAAGAATACAAGTCATTCCCCAATTGATAAATGGTCAAAGGATATGAACGGACAGTTCTCAGATGAAGAAATTAAAGCCATCTACAGTCATAAAAATGCTCTAAATCACTATTGATTAGAGAAATGCAAATCAAAACAACTCTGAGGTACCACATCACACCTATCAGATTGGCCAAGATGACAAAACAGGAAAATGATAAATGTTGGAGAAGATGTGGGAAAATTGGAACACTAATGCATTGTTGGTGGAGTTGTGAAATGATCCAACCATTTTGGAGAGTAATCTGGAACTATGGCCAAAGGGCTATCAAAATATGCATATCCTTTGACCCAGCAATAACACTTCTAGGGCTATATCCCAAAGAGATCATACAAATGGGAAAAGGACCCACATGTACAAAAATATTCATAGCAGCTCTTTTTGTGGTGGCAAAGAACTGGAAATTGAGGGGATGCCCATCAATTGGGGAATGACTGAACAAGTTGTGTTATATGAATGTAATTGGATACTATTGTGCTATAAGAAAAGATGAACAGGCAGACTTCAGAAAAACCTGAAAAGACTTGTATGATCTGATGCTGAGTGAAGTGAGCAGAACCACGAGAACGTTGTACACAATAACAGCCACATTGTGTAATGACTAATATTGATAAACTTAACCTTTCCCAGCAATACAAGGATCTAAGACATCTCCAGAGGCCTCATGATGGAAAATGCTATCCACATCCAAAGAAAGAACTATGGAATTTGAATTGCTATTTTTTTTTCTCTTCTGTTGAGTTTTGTTTCCTCTTTCTGATGGTTCCTCCTATTGGTTTTAATTTTTACTTACAACATCACTAATGTGAAAATATGTTAAATAGGAATGTAAAGTATAGCCTATATCAGATTGTGCACCATCTTGGGGAGGGGGGTGGGGAGGAAGGGGGAGAAAAATTTTTAACTCAAAAGCATATGGAAGTGATTATTGATAAATAAAAATAAATTAATATAAAAATTTAAAAATGTGCCTTATTTCTCTGAAGACAACCAAAATATTCAACTCAACAGTAACAGCACACTGGCTGGCTTTAGCTCTTCTTTATGGGGCAATTCTATTGGTTATACTATCTGTATTGGTTATTTGAAGTTTTTAATCTCTAGTTTTAACTATATTGACATGAAATATAACCCCCAAATGAGTTGCATATTTGAAAGACTTTAATTGTAGCTGCATCCATGAAATATTTATTCATCTGGTCCTTTACAAACCTGTTCTCAGTCCTTAATGGGCACATAAGAGTTTTGCATTGTCAAAGTACTTTTCATCTAGGAAATAAGTACAGCTAAGACTCTGAGGACATGAACATACTCAGTCCAGGTTTACTGACAAGGTAGCTTAGGCATATGGAAAGTTCCAATGGTTTGCCAAAGGTCACAGGGCACATCAGTGGAATTGCTGGCTTTAGTTCTCCTGGTTCAAAATATTTTAACTCAGGGAACACAACACTAAGCATGCTGCTGAAAGTGGTCGTTGGTTTGGTATTAAGTATCCTGAGAAGCAGCAAATTTTTTTTGGCCCAGAATGTTATTTTTTTGGTATGACCATTCACCTTTAGGATCTTGGCGGGCTTTTTATGCAGCTCACAAATCCTTTTGGAAGAGATGTCTGAATGTGGTTGCTTGAAAAAAGAAAACCAAACAGACAAATAAATCCCAGTGGACTCAGGGCAGTATTGTTTGTTGACAAAGTGGCCCTCTCAATTATTTACTGTCTTAAGACTCACATGATTCCTCCATGTTGTAAGTTGACCTATCATATACCACATTTAGAACTTTTATAATATTAGCACTCTCCATGTTATACGAAGTTTAATTTGGGACAATAACAAAGGAAATAACTAGGAAGCAATAGATTGATTCCTACTTACGCCATGTAGCTTTTGGGCTTCTTTTCCAGTGAAAGTTTTTCCAGATAATGAGATAAGTAGTATAACAGTGCCATGAGGAACTCGTCAAGATTCTTATTCCTACAGAGAAATACAAAAATAGTCACTGTCAACCATTTCAGGTATAAGAATTCCTAACAACAAAACACAAAGCTAGTGAACGACGTGGATGCAATGTGGATGAAAAATACAGACACAAAAAGAAACCCACATGATCAGCTCTACTTTTAGTACAGACTGATATCAGTCTGTAAAGTAGACTTTATGGGTGAAATGACTTGGGTAGACTTACATAGCTAGTAAGTATTGGAGGTTTGAACCCAGGTCTTCCTAACTCCAGGTCCAGCACTCTATCATCTGTTACACTGTTGTGCCTCTGTGACTAATTTAACTTTTAAAATCCTATATTCCATAATGATTGACAAGATAAGACTTATAAAGCAAAACATTTTTGAGAGAAGGTATCACATGCTATTATTTGTCATCTCCCTCATTAGTCTTTAACCATAAGGCAACTTAGCCCACAACCTCCAATATAACCTTTCTCAGATTGTTTATTTTTCTTCCCTTGACTGAATGTCAAATTTGTATCCTGTCACATAGTTCCCAGACCATTCCAACCATTTTGCCATATACAGGAATTAAAGATGTATATGTTGAGCTGTTCAATGGACTAGGCAAGAACAAAGAAATACAAAATTCATATTTATTAAAACAGATGTAGGATCATAGATTGGGATCAGAAGGAAACTTAGATAGAGGTTATCAAGTCCAACCCTTTTATCACATAGAAGAGGAAACTGAGGACATACCCAGGGTCACATAGCTAGTGAGGTAGGATTTGAATCCAGGTCTGCATACCATATGAATGGGATTAATACATGAACACCAAAGCAAGATTGTATTTGGCAAACAATTCCACTAAGGCCTTGGTGGCACAGCTAGAAATTCTAGGGAGCAAAGAACAATTTCCCAAATGGACCAAATGAATAGCCTTCAACCATACTGCAACTGGGGAGAGTGTTTTTCAAATACAATTTCCTGAATTTCAAATACCTGAAAAGTATTTATGCTATGGAGAGAGAAAAAGGAGATAGCTAGCAGGGATTACAATACTAATATTCATATTTATTTATCACTTTAAGGTTAACTAAGATGTTTTCCTCTAAACAACCCTATGGGGTAGAGAATACAAACATCACTATTTAAGAGAAAAGGAAAATGAGGCTCATAGAGATTCACGTATTACATAGCTCTTAAGTGTTGGAGCCAGAATTCAACTCTAGCTCCAGTGATTTTTTTACAGTTTTTTTTTAAGGCAATGAGGTTAAGTGACTTGCCCAGGATCACATAACTGGTAAGTGTCTGAGGCCGCATTTGACCTCAGGTCCTCCTCACTCTAGGGCTGGTGCTCCTAGCTGCCCCAAGCTCTACTGAATTCAAGCAGAACCATCTTTTCATAGCATTAAGCTGCTTTGTCCTCTGTTGTCCATTGCTTTGTCCTATTAACCATGATTTCAGTTATGTTGTGGGAGGTTGGGGGTGATGGGGAGTTGTCAGTAAGGAACATTTTCTGAGGTTAAATGTAAATACAAATTACATTTAAAAGGACCCTTAAATAAACTTTTTATTGTGCAGTCATCAGACAAGTTAGAGATGCCTGATCCTCACTTTTAGCAAGTGGCACTCTCTCTCTCTTTCTCTCTCTCTCTCTCTCTCTCTCTCTCTCTCTCTGTCTCTCTCTCTCTGTCTCTCTCTCTCTCTCTCTTTCTCTAAGGTTTTAGCAGAAGTGAGCATTATATGTAAAAAGAATCTTTCACGGAGCTTTTCCAACATATTCTAACATTCTGTAAATTATACAGGGCCCAAATTATAAGGAGGCAGTAGCCCACCATATATGTAGCAACAGGCACACATACTGTAAAGGCCCCTCTCCCTCCAGAAATCATAGGATCGCAGATTTAGATTTGGAAGTTGTTGAGAGTCCAATCTCTTCATCAAACATCATTCCTCTTTCAAGGAACCTTGCCATCACTTATCAATATAGGTTATTGCAGACATCACCACATACCTCATGAATGCTGTAAAAGAATAGATATGCTGCATTTCAGTATCTTGTAATAAAAACAAGGCAACATCTGAAAATGAAGAGAAGAAAAGCTGAAGAATCAGCAAAAAGTTGTGTCCCAGGTAACAATAGCAAAGAGGACAGATAAAAAGATGTTGACTCACATTTAGCATCATCCAGAGTAACCTTGTCATTCTTTGACTTTTTATCAATTCCTTTGGTTGATTTCTCATCTCTTTTAGAAAATCTCTTCTCAGACAACCTAATAATGTGCAGTGTAAATAATTAGAAATGTTTTAGCTGTATTGAGACTCTGCTGGACAAAATACATAGGCATGAGTACATAGTAATTAGGGTTGTTTGTGCGTGTGTGTGTGTGTGTGTGTGTGTGTGTGTGTGTGTGCAGTTAGCTTCATAAAGATTCAACCCTGAAGGACAGCAAGGGCGATAATAGGACCAGTCGAGCTCCCAGACTTTCTCTCTATTGCATATAGGATACTCTCCTTCTTTAGGCCCTGGACCCCACATAGGTTCAGGAATCTTTGGACTGATGACAACTATTCTGTCTGGTCTCTCTGGAGATCTGGAATTATCATCATCAACATTATCCCTGTTCCTCTGTCAATTAATTACTAGAGATCAGTTAAGTATTAAATGCAACTTTTTTTTCTCAACTAAGTCCAGAGCAGAAGCGAATAGTAATAACAATATCTCACATTTATATGACCCCTTAAAATTTACAAATTACTTTCTTGATAACAACCTTGTGAGGTAGGAAGTATACATTTTATCATCCCCATTTCACAGATAGAGGCTCAGAGACAAGTGACTTCCCCAAGATAAAACAACTAGTGTCAGAGACAGGATATGAATCCAGGTCTCCCTGACTCTAAGTCTAACGCTCAAAATTTCAATGTGCCCCTAAAAACAATGAAAATAAGCTACACAGAGTTTAGGTTACAAGGTATAGTGTTCTGATGAGTCAAGATGGGAGAGTAGAGGTATCATTCCAGCTAAACTTTCCCAATATTCTCCTTCAAGCAACTTTAAAAATAATGCATCAAATTGAATTCTGGAGTAGCATAGCCAACAAAAGTTTGGGGTGAGACATTTTTCTAACCCAAGACAACTTAGGAGATTGGCAGGAGAGGTCTATGACGTTGGGGTGGGACTGGCCTGGAGTGCACAGGAGTGTGGCAACATCAGCTGTGGACCTTGGAGGCTATGGCAGCAAGGGGATTGGACAATTGGTCAGAAAGAGATTACAGGGATCTCCTCTGTGGACATGGGTCAAAGGACTGGGTGCCTCTTGGAAACTCCATTACCCAGTTCTGGGTTGCAATTCGAGGGTAGAGATGATGAGTGCCTGCAGTCACAAGGGAGAAAGGTCCCTTCCCAGGTAAAGCAGTGCCCATACCTCCCAGGATCACACCATCTTAGAAGCACCCAAAACTTACAGGTCCCCAGAATTAGCTGTGAAAATAGCAGGACAAAAAAAGCCTGAAGCTTGGAACAGTATCACACCTCCCCACCCTGAGATGAGCAGAGCCCAGCCCTAACACAAAGTTCAAAGTCTAGAAATTGGTTGAAAAATGAGCAAATAATGAAGAAAGAACCTGACTGTGAAAATCTACTATAGTGATGAGGAAGCTCAAGACTCAAACTCAAAAGAAGACAATGACATGAAAACACCTACAAGCATATACAAGCCTCAGAGCAAAAAATGGGGGCAGCTAGGTGGTACGGTGGATAGAGCTCTGGCCTTGGAGTCAGGAGGACCTGAGTTCAAATTCAGTCTCAGACACTTGGCACTTATTAGCTGTGTGACCCTGGGCAAGTCACTTAAGCCCATTGCCGAGCAAAAAAAAAAAAAAAAAAGGAAAAAAAAAATGCAGATTGTTGGGTTGCAAATTGCAACCCAACAAGAATTCCTAGAAGATTTTTTTTTAAGGGCAGGGGCAGCTAGGTGGTGCACTGGATAGAGCTCTGGCCCTGGTGTCAGGAGGACCTGAGTTCAAATATGGCCTCAGGCCCTTGACACTTACTAGCTGTGTGACCCTGGGCAAGTCACTTAACCCCATTGCCTAGCAAAAAACAAACAAAAAACAAACAAATAAATAAAAAGGGCAAAAAATGATTTTAAAAATCAAATAAGAGTAGTAGAGGAAAATTCGGAAAAGAAATTTGAGTAATGCAGGAAAATTATGAAAAGATAATTAACAACTTGGTAAAAGAGGCACAAAAAATAATGAAAATAACTTTTTAAAAAGCAGAATTGGCCAAGAGGGAAAAAAGGTACAAAACCACCTTGAAGAAGGTAATTCCTTCAAAATGAGTAGCAGTAAGCGAGTTAAGGTAGGATGGGAAAAAAAATTACCTGTCAAATCTATAGATAAGGGAAAAGTTTTTGAGTGAACAAGAGATAGAGAAGATCATGCATAGTAAAATGGATAATTATGGTTATATAACTTTTAAAAGTTTTTGCAATACAAAATCAATGCAGACAAAATTAGAAAGAAAGCAGGAAAGTGGGGAAACTTGTTTACAGCAAGTTTCTCTGATAAAGGTCCCATTTCTCAAGTATATAGGGAACTGAGTCAAATTTATAAAAATAAGAGCCATTCCCCAATTGATAAATGGTTAAAGAAATGAACAAGCAGTTTTCATATGAAAAAAATCAAAGTTATCAATAGTCATATAAAAATGCTCTAAATTCCTCTAAAATTGCTCTAATATTCTAATTGGAATATTAGAGAAATAGAAATTCGTGATTGTTGTCCTTTGTACTTAAAGAGCACCAAAATGACATCACCAGGTCAGGATCAATGTACAACGTATCTGACTGTGATGGATCAGACCAATTCAAATTGAGAAGGCTCTACCACAGGCTGGGCAGAAATAGTCCATATGAATATTGGAATGGAGATGTCTCTAAATATGTGCATCTCATGTTTCTTCTGACCTACTGCAATTCTGCTTTGCGCATAGAGCACGGCACCACTTTTGACATGGGCATACCACGCTGGGTGGTCCTGTGCCAGTGTCTCCCATGTCTTATAATCAATTTCAAAGTTCTTCAGAGAGACCTTGAGAGTGTCCTTGTGTGGCTTCTTCTGACCTCCATATGAGAGCTTGCCTTGTTTAAGTTCTCTGTTAAATAGTCTTTTAGGCAAACAGAGGTTTGGCATTTGAACGACGTGACCAGCCAATCAGAGTTGTGCCCTGTGCAGCAGAATTTGAATGCTTGGCAGTTCAGCTTGAGAAAATGACCTCAGTGTCCAGTACCTTACCTTACCTTATCTTCAGAATCTTTCTAAGACAATTCAAGTGGATGCAATTTAGTTTCTTGGCACGGCAGCGATAGACCACCCAGGTTTTACAGTCACACAACAATGAGGTCAATACAATGGCTCTATAGACCTTTGATTTGGTAGGCAGCCTAATATCTCCTCTTCCACATTTTCCTTCAGAGACTCCGAGCTGGCTCTGGCAACGTGTGTGTCAACCTCATCATCTCTGTGTACATCCCTGGAAAGTATTACTGACAAGGTAAGTAAACTTATCCATAGCATTTAAAATTTCTCCATTTGTTGTACTTGATGATTCCATGTATGAATGCTGGCTGGTGAAGCACCTCTGTTGTCTTGGTGTTGTCAGGACAAAATTAGCACAAGCATAAAGAATGGGTCTGTACTCTGTTGCATCTCAGCCTCAGAGGCTGCATTGAGTGCACAATCATCTGCAAACAAAAAGTCATGCATGAGCTCTTCCTCCCCTTTAGTTTTGGCTTGTAGCTTTTTCAAGTTAAATGATTTACTATCAGTGCAGTAGCTGCTAAAAACATCATGCTTAAAAAGCATGGGAGCAAGCACACAGCTCTGCTTCACTCCACTGGTGACTGGCAAAGCTTGAGACTCATCCATTACCCAGAGCCATCCTGGAACTGGCATACGATACTGATGAACTCTGGGCAACCAAATTTTGTCATAATCTTCTACAAACCCTCACAATTGTCAATAAGTGACAAACATTGCGTACAGACCTCTGTTCTGCTCCTGGAATTTCTCCTGGATTTGTTGGACAGCAAACACCATGTTGACCATTTTTTGGCCCTTTCTGAAGCCACACTGCCTCTTGGGTAAATGACAATCTTCCAGATGAAGGATCAGCCTATTAAGGAGGTCTTTGACAAGCATCTTGGTAACAATGACTAAGAGAGAGGACACTTCCCCCATCTTGTCCCGCCCCAGTCCATGATTGTCTCAGGACAACCTATTTTCCTTTATAGAGCTGGACAATGGAGGCATTCTTGCATACCTGGAGGATAATCTCCTCTTGCCACATAACCTGGAAGATTTCAATCAGCTTTTGTATGAGCAATGGACTCCCTGCCTTGTAAATCTCTGCTGGAACAGAATCAGCACCAGGAGCTTTACCACACAAGAGGAACCTAATGGCATTCAAAACCTCTACATCAATTGGAAATTTGGCTAGAGAAGGATTGACTTCAACCTGGGGTTGCATGACCTGGGGTCAATGGCTTCAGCATTGATGGGTGACAGTCTGTTGTTTTTCAGTTTTTTTCCCCAATATGGCAATATTTTTCAACTGACTTTCCAGATCTGTTCTCTCTTGGGGATCCCCAAAATGCTGCCATTAGTACTATCCTGACCTGCTTGGAAAACCTGCAGTTGCCCCAGACACAAACACAATCCACTATGTACACTGAGGATCACTAGTATAAGAGTAGCCTGGAATAGGTCTCCCCTTTGGGGACAGTAGAAATCAGAGAGTCCTCATGTACGCTCTTACTTTTGACTCGGAAGTCATCAGGTAGGAGCATGAGTATGAGATCAGGGTCTCTGTCCCAGTTGGCCCTAGTGGATCTTTATGGCCATAGGGGAGAATTGCCTAATATGGCTGCCCAATGAGATTCTGCTCAGCCGTAGAGTGTGTCTTCATCAGCATGTGGAATCAGTTTGACTATTTTAAGAATACACCTTGAACAAGCCCATTTCAATGCATAAAGACATTCATATTAACCAATTACTATGTCAAGAAAAAAAAAGATCATAGAACCTCACAGTTGAGAAGTCATATAATCCAACTCATATTTGAATAATTAATGTATTCCATTTAAGACAGTGCATTTAAATCTGTTATTGATACATAAAGCACTCATCAATTTATATTTTATAAGTTGATAATTGTTGGCAACACTTTTAAAGATGGAAAATCTCAACAGCAGCCATTAGCCAAATTCCAACATGGGTAAAGCCTCCCTCAATTCCCTCAACAAATTTAAATAATACAATAAGTATTAATTCTTTGGTACTTCTCATGTTAGTGGTGATAGAAATAACACTTTCTTGCAACTTGCAAGGGTTTAAAATAATTCTAAAAGTTGCTAGAGAAATGCTCTGATTATGAAATGAAAAAAAATACCTTTCTGAGGCAGAGCCATCATTTTCAACAAAGTGAACTGATTTGCCCTTCTTGAGTTTCTCTTTGGTTTCTGATGCAGGCATAGGACTGTAAAAGAGAGTAGTCATTAAGCAAACAATATTTTTTTCCTCTGTAGGGGAAAAATGCCTATAAAGTTTATCATGCATAACATTGGCCTAACATTTTGCATTATCATGCATTCATATTAACCAAACTCCATTGTAACCTCATTTGGGGGGAACAGAGGAAAAGGTTGTTCTGAGGGTTTTTTTGGACAGGGCTGGAAATCCTCTTTTTCTCTTCTCCACTCCTCCTCTTCTCTCACCCTCTCATTTGCTCCCCCCGATACTATTTGTGCGGAATTCATTGGCCCTAGTAAGGTTTCCTAGTAGTCAATGTGGTTTCTTTAGGACTTACTGAACTCTATTTGGTGGGATATGTCTGTAATGCCAAGATTACAGCTCAGCTAATCACACTAACAGCACAGCTCATGCCCATTCACTTAGGGCCTTAATAGAACACAAGGTACTACCACTCACTGAGAATTTTGTAGAACAGCTACTTGAAGAAAGAGTAACAACTGAAAAGTGACATCCAATTTTCAAGCATGAGCCTCTGGAACATTGGGAGACACATAAGGGAAAAGACAAAACAACAGGGAACTTCAGAACACCAGGCCTTGCCATCTGTTTAAATAAATTATTTGTCATTCATTCCATAAGGGTCAAAGATTGCTGACTTAAGAGTGGAATTCTAGGTCCTCCACACGTTATTTCAACCTCAGTCACCAGCCTTTCCAATCTCCATTGCTAAGTCACAATCAATCAGTCAACAAAGTCGAGGTGCCCAGGCAGGAGGCACTTCTATGACTTTATAAGTTAGACAATGAATGGTTTCTCCACCAAAACTCACAACGGCCCTCAGGGGAGGAAGGATTGATTCCTTCAGTAACTGGCACCAGGACTTGGGAAAAGGGTGTACCAGAGCCCAGCCCCAAATGACAAAGAGAGCTCTAGGGTCTCCTTATTAAATGATGTGTTTTCTGTGTCTACCTGATAGAGTTGTTTTGTGTCCCGTGGGGATTTAAGATCTGTTATGGCTTTGGCTTTCCTGAGCTTGGTTGAATGCCATGTTGAGTCACAAGGTAGCCCAGAAACTCAAATCTTGCTCCAAATTTACACCTCTCTCTGTGAAGCCTAAGTCCAGATGTAGGAACAGAAGACAGAATTAAGTGCATTTTTCAGGTTGAGTTGTTTCATATACACGGATATCATTTATGGAGAACCTCATTCCCTCTGTGTTCAGATAAGAGCTCTGGTTTTCTCATCTTCTGGGGCACATGTTATCTCAAAAACAAACTGTCTTAAAACAATACTCCCTCTCAACTAAAAGAATTGGTCAGATGAGAAATTTCTTCTATCAGCACATGGTATGACTGGGCAATTTGGACAAAATGTCATCTAGAAAAGGGACTTTCTGCATTTTTTCATTTCACCTGGGCCACTATTATTTGAGTTGTAATTCCCAAGGGCAGCTAGGTAGCTTAGTGGATGGAGTGCCAGCCTAGAGTCAGGAAGACTTATCTTCCTGAGTTCAAATCTGTCCTCAGACACTTCCTAGTTGTGTGACCCTGGTCAAGACACTTAACACTGTTTGCCTCAGCTTCCTCATCTGTAAAATGGGGTGAAGGAAATAAGAAATCATTTTAGTATCTTTGCCAAGAATACCCCAAACGGGGTCGAGAATTGGACATAACTGAACAGCAACAAAAGACATTTTCTGCTCAATTTTACTAGGAAGTGTGCTAGAGTCAGCTGGACACCCCAAGAGCTGAAAGTTAAATTTTCATTGTGAGCATTTATATCTCAGAAATATGCAATCGCTATCAATCAGGGCTTGATTTATTGTTTTGTCGATTGCCTAGACCAGGGTGGGGAACTTGTGGCCTAGAGGCCTCTTGTGGCCCTCTAGGTACTCAAGTTCAGCCCTTTGATTGAATCCAAATTTCACAGAACAAATCCCCTTAATAAAAGGATTTGTTCTGTAAAACGTGGACTTGGTCAAAAGGCTGCAGACCTAGAAGGCCACATGTTAAGATAGGAATGGAGAAAATGTTTGTAATGCAGATTAAACTTAAAAATGTGTTGTGCCTACATTTTTCTTAAACAAATGTTTAATAAACCAACACACCCCTGCTTCAAGCCCTCATTCACAGCCCTGGAAATCAGTTTTTCTTGGGTCATTTGCCAACTTTATCTTAGTGATTTGTCACTTTAAAAGAAGAAATTCATCCACTTTCTCAACCTAACCAGAGGAAGTCTGTATTTTATCTGAATGCTTGGCCTCAGGTTTCTAGGTCACCGGCCCTTTAGAAACATAATGGAGCACACCCCCCAGGCCATTCTGCCTCTGCTGAATGCCAGATCTTTTGTCCAACCGGTAGTTTCTGGCTCTTAAAACGGCCCTAAAATCCTGGTTTCTCTCTCGTGGCTTTGTTAACTCTAAATCAATCCCTGCCTGCCAGATTAAATTCTGGTTTTCCACTACAGACCAGTCTCTTCTTTTTCTTTGTTCCCCATTTCAGCTGGACACCCCTCTTAAATGGCTTATTTCTGTAAATTATGGATTCTCAGCCCTCAATGGACATTCTCTTGTCACAGTTGTCAGAATTTATCTGGACTGTTCTAGAACCCTGCCTCAGGTGATGATGCTAACCATTATCTAGAGCAGCATGCCTAAGCTGACACCTATTTGGAATCTTTGAGAAACACTGGTGAGGTAAGTAGATAGTGCAGTCAATAATGCCCATTTTACAATTGAGAAAAGGAGAAAAGTAGAAAGGTTAAAGGATTTGCTGGTGGGTCATCAATTCAACAGGGGGCTAGTTAGTAATTTAATTCAACAAACATTTACCAAGTGCCTACACTGTGCCAATCATTATGCTTGGTGCTGGAGATACAAAGGCAAAATCAAGTCATAAATGTATGTATGTGTGTGTGTATTTATACAGATCACACGTGTGTTATATGAATATCTATATATCCAGTGTGTATATATTTGTGTATGTATGTGTGTGTGTGTGTGTCTACATAATGGTAGGATCATCTAGAGAGCTAGAAGATCATCTAGTCCAGCTCCATTTTACAGATGAAGAAACTGAGGCCCAGAGAGGTTAAGTGACTTGCCCAAACTCATACAGATAGTAAAATGGAACTCAGATTCTGTGACTCCAGATTCAGCACTCTTTCCACTGCTCCTACTCTCAAGGAGCTTACATCCTATTTTCCAGATCATGCACCCAGGTCTTTTGACTGTAAGAGTCCAGGAGTCCTTCCATTATATTATGCTGCTGGTTTTCAAAGATGTGTCAGAAAATGTCATGATCTTCCATTTGATCTGGTGATACTCATGGAATCTAGTCTTTCCCATAGCTAGCACTGTGTTAGGACACAGCATTGTTCCTATTTTCCCAATACTGCATCATAATCATTACGTTCCCCCTTAGTCCTAACTAAAGGTAAGACATATATTTCAGGATCTATAGCTACAATTAAGACCTTGATTTGTATCCTCTTAGGTTCTTCATAGTTTTACAGTCATTCTATGCTTGTTGTCTCCTTTGTTTTGGCCGGGATAAAAACTGGTGGCTTATGGGGCTTATGGAGATTTAAAGGGGGACACTGGCTTAACCTGTACATAAGCAAATTTCCTAGTCTGAACACAGATTTATAGCTAACTACCTCAAGCCCATCTATTCCTTTTCTTTCTTTCCTTATGATAGCTCTTCTAGCGATGATGTTGAATTGGTAGAAGTGTTCATTAAAGCAATAACAGACAAGATTGCTGACTCTGTAAAGACAATGCATACTAACTTAGGCTAGCCCAAGAACTTGGACACACAGCTCGAGAGTAAAGTTATCAGTTGTTTAATGAAGTCTGCATAGTTCAGTGGAAAATGTTGGAAAACCTGGGTTCGAATGCTCTAACACTTCCTTGCCTATGTGGCCTTAGTCAAATCCCTTCTTTGGAATTCCTTTTCCTTATCCCTAAAACATGAAGGTTGAACTAAATGACCTTCAAAGGTCTCTTTCAAAAGTCTAAATCTATGACCATATGTATAAGACTTTAGGTTAAAGATAACCAGGAGGCCTCTGACAACAACTTTATTGGCCAAATGTACACTACAAGAAGGACTGAGAAGTTATACTGAAAAAAAGGAAAGTGAATTTTGGGAATTTTCAAATAGTAAATCATCCAAGCCTTAATTAGGATTTGTACTTTAGGCCAAAGTTTGGTCCTATATTCCTTGTATGTCTAAGCCTGCTCATCCATTTTTGATAAAAATGTTACCCCAAATTATAAAAATTAAGATAATTGATTATGGATACTTCTGCAGGTTACTTCTAAAACACTTAGCCATTCAAAGTAGCCTTACTAATCTCTAATTTACTAATAAAGCCTTACTAATCTCTCCAAACCTACCTTTCTAGTTTTCTAGTCCATCTCCCACTTTACATTAAGCCACTTTTCTATCCAGACTAGTCTATATTCACTGGCAGCTAGGTGGCAAAGTAGAAAAGAGTGCTGGGCCTGGAGCCAGGAAGACTTTTCTTCCCGAGTTCAAATCCAGCCTCAGAAAGCTCCTTGTCTTCACACTACACTCTCAATTTAAAATGCTTACCTGTCCATCTGAATCCAAACCATCTTTGAATGTGTCAAAATATTTTGGAGATACCCTGCTTCCCAGAGCTAAGGCCCAGCAAGCAGGCTGTGTCCTGAGCTTGGTATAACAGTAATCCTTTGCATTCAGGATGATATCACCCTCTAGCAAAGCATATTGCTTGGACCAGCACCAGGTGTTTACTGAGGGATTTAACTCCCCCTATTTCCCAGGGATATCCATCACATATTCACAATCCCTGCTCCTTATCGCTGATAGGTATTGCACTTCTGTTCCCATCACAGAACTCTGGTTCTGTCCCCTGAAGGGTGGGTGCAACCCCCAAGATGAGACAATACTGGTCCCCCAGGGCCGGTGGGAACAGTAGCTCAAGACCTAAAAATGATTACATCATGGTCCAGCCCAG